ATTGGATTTGGAGGTTCTTTTGTATGAAATTGCAATTTTAGAATGTTATTGTGGCTTGTGTTAGGACATGGAAAGCTATGTTGTGTTGTGATTCATAATATAAAAATATTTATCATAAATTTTAAAAATATATTTTTTATATAATTTAAATATCTTTTTATACATAATATATATAATTTATTATAAATTTTAATTATTACACGTATCAAAATATAATTAAAGAAATAAAATAAAAAAAAATCAAAAGATCATCTTATTCTTAGTATTTAAAAATTCACAGGAGTTTATTAGTTTTAGATACATTAAAGGAAAAATAAAAAGCATTACTACAACATCCGAAATTTTGTCAGCATCATGGTTCAAAAAATTAAAATATTAATATATTTTAATAAATTTATTATAAAATAATTATTTAATTTAATATTTTATAATTTAAAATATTATTTTATTCATTCGGAATGATTTTCGCCATACAGATTCGAGGCTGAATCAAAAATAAAACATACATATTATCAATTAATACTCATAAAATTATTAAAAAGAAAACATAAAATAATTTTTTTTCTTGTATTAAAAAAAAAAAACATTGCGGCGCTGCAACCTATGTGCCACATCACACTCGTAGGGTTTTCTTTTCCTGTCTCTACTTAAGACCTGTCTTGTCCCCTCTCACTTCTCACTTTGCAGCAATTAACTTTTTTCTCTCTCTTTTGGCGTCACACAACAACCATGGCTGAACCAAAAGAGGACACAGAATGCGAATTCACGTGGGGGAGAAAGCGAGGCATGGGTGGGAAGAAGAGAGACATTCAGTTCTACTCTTCGTTCACCTTCGACGGCGAGGAGTACGCGCTCAACGACGTCGTTTTTCTACAAAATGGGAGTGGTGGCGAGCCCCACATCGGAAAGCTCATAAAGATCTGGGAGAACCGCGACAAGTCAAGGAAGGTGAAGGTGCAGTGGTTCTTCCGTTCCAGTGAGATTCAGAAGTACTTGGAAGGGATTGTGACCAAGGAGAACGAGATTTTCTTGGCGTGTGGCGATGGCAAGGGCTTTGCCAATGTTAATCCTCTTGTGAGTTTTTTGATTCCCAATGGTTGTCTTTTTATCAATGTTACTAGGTTTTGCATGTCGTTTATGTATGAAAAAAATTTGAGTAATTATTGTAATTCTCTGATCTGAATTTGAATTAGAATTTTATTATGGTAACATACATTATTATTCATTTACTCATATTAACAAACTAAAATTTCAATTATGATGGAGGAGTGACATCAACTACACTTTGACAATTCTACTTAAATTTTGTCGTATATATATATATATTTTGAAATTTTTTTATTTGACTCTCTATTGTTGAGATCATGAAATAATGTTCAATGTGGTATTCTGGGTTCACTCAAAAGAAATGTTATATTCTGATTGTCAAAATATTTGTAATATGACCAGGCTAATGTGGTTGATGAGAAAGAGTCAAATTGCATGTATTTTGAGAATTAGGGGATTACATTAAACATTATTTTAAGCGAAATGCTAGTATGATGTCTATGAAATTTGATGGACTCACACTCTATTTAATAACTTTTTTTTTTTTAATTTTTAACTAATAAAAGTGATAAAAAAGAGTTTGTTAGGTAGTGTGTTACTAACACTACTCTTATTTTAATAATGGAGAGACTAAGTTTTGTTGAACTTAAGAAAGAGGTTTTTAAGGACAAAAAAGAGTAATTTAGCCTCTTGGATTATGAACCTTTTTCTGTTGTGAGTATTGTTGGATGTTGTTCTGTTGTTTTGAGTATTTGCTTGTTATTTGCACTAGGAAGCTATTGTTGGGAAATGCAATGTTGTTTGCATTTCTAAGGACATTGAGAAACCACAATCGTCAGATGAAGCACCAGCTGATTTTGTGTTCCATCGTTCCTTTGATGTTGCGAAATTGAAAGTTGTGGATCAGATAGATGACAAGACTTCTGAAACTGAAGGTATTATGTGATCTTATTTGTTTGAATATATGCTGTGAAATTCTTCATTGTTTTAGTTTTAAAATGAAATTTTCTTTTTTAAAAAATACAAGGTATTTCTCACATTTGTCATTACCATTTGATTTGTCTAAGAACTTTGGTTTTATTTGAAGAAAAAAATTTCACAAGGTTGTGCATGGCAATCAATTTTGGTCCTGTTTAATTGTTTTTCTTTTGCTTTGGTTCTTCCATGTGGTGTCCCCATTTCCTTTTGGTGTGGGACTATAGTTGCCCTTAAGAATGAGTGTTTACCTGTTGCATGGAGCTATTATTTATGTTTCTAAAATTGAGTTTTTTTGTGTGAATATTTTGAACCTTTTTATTGTTTAATAATATTTTTGTGAAATTTCATTGGAGATGTAAGGAAACCTCCTTAACCATGGGAAATAAGTATAATTCTATCTACTGTTGAATTGCTGACTATCGCATGAGGCGTTTTTCTGATTTTCTCAACTTCTTATTGTTTGCAGTTAAAAATGATTGAAAAAATGTCCAAAGCTTGTTGGTGCTGTGAAACTCGATTTAGACAAGAATGAAGTTAGGGGGAATAGTAAGGCATATATAGAAGTACATATTTCAAATAATAAAAGTAGTTAGCCAGTAATTGTGAAATGGTAGGTGACAAATTTGTTGTATACAAAAATACAAAATGCTTCCAAAGTTTAGTGTGTTTTTGATAGATAGAGAGGGGGAAGCAAAATCTACAGGGTATAATAATTTATTGGTCGAGGACAAGCCTTCTAAGAAGGAAAAGGTGGGGTGGTTAAATAAATTTTGCAGAGCAGGGGAAAGCTCCTTTATGGAATAAAGGATTTACACATTGCATCTTCCTTGTAATTGAAGCTTTACAAGAAGCCAATGTCTTTTAGCTGCATAAAGAATCTTTTACAGTTTCTGCTGTTGCTGCAGTTCAATTACTACTGCTATTGCAGCTATAATTATGTAACTACTATTGCTGCTACTTAGTTGCTGCTACTGTAATTAAGTTGCTACTCCTTCTGCTCCTGTAATTAAGTTCATTTACTTATATATAGAAATTTATTTACTTAAATTCAGTTACTTCTGTTAATATAATTCAGTTCTACTACTGCGACATAGATTTAGGGGTGGGAGCTCACTAACATGTAAATTATAATCATACACCCTTTTTTTTCATCCCTCATTTCATTTTCTTTTTTCTCTATCTCCTCTATCCATCCTAATTATCATGGGGTGCACTTTATAATTGTATTTTAGATCATGTATCATATTCCAGGTAAGAGTCAAGTGTTATTACATTCTGGAGTTTTCATCTCATCAAAGTTTGTTTTCAACCTCAATGTAGAGACTTGAGAATAGTGATAGAGTGGAGAGAAACATAATGTGAATGTGTAAGACAGTGATGACTAAGAAAATTATAGATCAAACAGTGATAACTGAGGAGATTATAAACATTTACTTTTAAGAAGAGCATGGATAAATTATAGTAGTTTTGTACTAGGGGACTTTTCTAAACCAGAAGAGGGAATTTAAGAGGCACAAGGAATATGCACTGTCATATGAAAATTGAGAAAGGGTGTGTGGAAGGGAAGTAATACAGCACTAATGGATAATTTATCTAGATAGGGAATAAGTCGCTAACAAAATATGTGGAACTAACTATTAGAGCAAAGGATGACAAGATTTATCAAGAATCCTTTGATAAAAATAGCAGCATCGTAAAAATTTAAGGCAGCATTAGCATTTATTAATGAAGTGCGAGGGTTTTAATGATATGACTTTTTTTTAGAATACCATTTAGTTCACGAATTGTTATAAATATTGTGTGTTTGGATTTGATTCGACAACTTACTTATGGTGGATCAATTTCACGTCCAACCCTGAAGGCTGAAGCTATTCCTTCTAGCTTCCAAATGTATTTTTATCGGTGTCTAAGGTAATAAATCAAAGGGAGTTGTTGGGAACTAAAGAGAGCTCCAATATACAATGCTCGTTGTGAAGTGAAGGTTGGAACACTTTAATTTTTCCAAGTAAATAATAATGTATGGTTTTAATTTAATGGTTTACTTACTTATTTAGTCTCCTAAGGAAACCTCTATTATTAATTGATCCCTCTATTATTAAACTTCTTTTTCCAATTACTTAATTGATCCCTCTATTATTAAACTTCTTTTGTTTGCTTTGGTTATTTTAATTGGAAAAACAATTTGCTTTGAATTGGATTTGGAGGTTCTTTTGTATGAAATTGCAATTTTAGAATGTTATTGTGGCTTGTGTTAGGACATGGAAAGCTATGTTGTGTTGTGATTTGAACGAGAGCCTAACTTATATAGATAGGAGCTTCCATGAGATTTTGGGAAGCCATGTGCACTTAGCGTGATAACGCATCACGACATGATAAAAATGATTTAAAAAAATGTATGATCACACAAGGGTGAAATGAGTATTAAATAGGGGTGTGCAAAAAATCCATATTGATCCGAATCGATTTATAACTGATCCGATCCGTATTGAAAAATTCGATCCATTTCAAAAAAAATCCGAACCGAACCACTTTATAAAACCGGTTCAGTTATCCGATCCATTTTTACAAAGTGGATCGGTTCGGTTTGGTTTTTAAAACAAAAACGATCCATATATGAGTAAAAAGTAAATAACTGTACCGTATCAAACCGATCCAATTTCAAAAAAACCAATCTATATTTAAAAAAAAAACAAATCGATCTATTTTATAAAAAATAGATCAGTTAACCGATTTACTTTTATAAATTGGTTTGGTTCGATTTGGATCGGTTTTTTTAAAAAATCGATCCATGAACACCTCTAGTATTAAACTTAGGCTTTATGACTTTAAAAGAGAGGGTTCGACTCAACCTTATGACTTTAAAGGAGAGAGTTGGACTTATGTAAACAAAAGTCTAAAACTTTTTTTTTAAAACATCATAGTTCTTTATTTTTCAAAGACCCACTTACCCACTTTGTTTCTCTGCCCAAAGTTATTCAAAATAGATATTATTTAATTAAAAACCTCAAAATAATTTCTTTAATAAATAGTATATGTATTTTTAATTTTAAAATAAAAACTAGAGTAGCAACTCAAATGCAAAGTTCTTAATTTTAATACCTAGTTCTTGTAAGAACCTCCAATTGAAACATGCTTAGTTGACAACACTTTCTTAAAATAACTAGTTCGTATGTAAGAACCATGTTCTTAGCATTGAAATATTAATTTTTTTGCTGCCTCTTAGTTTAATTGGTCAACAACAGTTTCTTAAGTTAAATTTTTTAAGTTGTTAAAAAGTGAAGTAAAGATAAAAATTATAAAAGTGTGAGTTGTTTATAAGATCTTATCATTAGAATAAAACTTGTAAAAATTTAGGTGTGAATTGTTTAAGAATAATATAAGTGTAATATGACATAGTGTGACTCATTTAAATTGAAATAAAAAACTTAGTAAGTTGCTTATTGGAAAAATCCTCAATTAGAGATGATTTTATATAATTAGTCTACATTAATAATCAATGTATCATGACTCCAATCAATGTATTACGTTAATGATTAATTAATGATTTAAATGATTAATTAATAGATGATAAAATGCATGAAATTTAAAAAGATGTAATATAAAATATGTAAATAAAATAATTAGATAGCAAAATTCACAAAATTGTAAAATATACAATTAATTCTTCACTATTTTATGAGGCACTATTACATGATATCTATAACGACCCGCTGAGCTTGTTTCTCCACTTGATTTATTTCAAAGATTTTGGATTTGGTTTAGCTAGGTTCATCCAATGATGGTGAGACCTAGCTAAATCAATTCCTTGAAAAATATGGAGCAAAACAAGTCCAATATGTAAAATTTGGCCTAGGCACAATTCTGGCCCAATTGTTAAACACACCACTACTAGAAAAATTAATATTTGTGACGAATTTTGTGACAGAAAAAATAGCATCGCTAATAGTGACGCATTTTGTGAGGGAATTTTAAGTTTTGTGACGGACTAGAATTTATTGAATTTTGTGACGGATTTTGTGACGGAATATATTCTGTCTCTAAAAATCGCTCTGGGTCCAAGTGCTTAGAGAGAAGTATAATTACAGCCATGGGTTGGTTCCTATTATGAAAGCCAAGTCTATAAACTCCCAATCCTAGAAGGCCATTGTTGGAGTGTCAAATTTGGTTGTTCATAATCTACATTGGGTGATTGGGAATGGTTGCAGTGCTAGATTTTGGAAGGATGTTTGGCTTCCTATGGGAAATAATGTTTTTTTTTATGGCTTATCATAAACCAACTATAATAGATAAGTCCAGGAGGGTGTGTGATTATGTGAATGTGAAAGGAGAGTGGGAGGTGTAGTTCCTTCAATAGTTCATCTCTCCTCTCTCCTCTCTATATAAGTCTCATTAAAAATCCTCATCCTCCTTGTTTCCACAATGGGGAAGATAAACTTGTTTGGAGCCTTATTGTTGATGGCATTTTCATTGAGAAGTCAACTTATACTATAATTCAGGCCAATGCTCATCACGACTCTTCTATTACGTGTTGTAAGAAGTTCTTGATGGAAACGACTTAGAAAAGTGATTGGTGTTCTTCCTCAAGCTCCATCCGATGTCCAATCTAGCTCTTGGAGGTTCTTCAAGGTTGATAATGGCGGAAGCAAAGCAAGCTTCAAAGCTTGCTAGAAGCCATTCTTGATGGCTCGGTTCTTCTTGAAGGAAAAGAAGAAGGAGGAAACCAAGGCACAAAGGAGAAAGTCCTTTGTGAAGGTTCTTAAGGGAGAGAGTTTCTCCATGGTTTTGGCTCTTGGAAGAGAGAATTTTGAGAGAAAATTTTGTTCATTAACATCCAAAAGTGTCTATAAATGAAAGGTTTAAGAATATATAGAAGTAGGAAGCTTGTGGAGGAAGCTAAGCTTAACCATGGTTCAAGTGAACCATGGTTGGCTTAACTTTGCCCGTCCACTCTAGTTTAGGAGGCTTGTGGAGCAAGATTCTATCTTAGCTAGCTTTAGAAGCTTGTATCACAAGCTTCCTAAGGCTCTAAGGTTCATGAAGCAATCCGACCAAATGAGAGAGCTAGGCGGCCTTGGGCTTGTTTCTCCACTTGATTTATTTCAAAGATTTTGGATTTGGTTTAGCTAGGTTCATCCAATGATGGTGAGACCTAGCTAAATCAATTCCTTGAAAAATATGGAGCAAAACAAGTCCAATATGTAAAATTTGGCCTAGGCCCAATTCTGGCCCAATTGCTAAACACACCCTCAAGCTTTGATATTTGTCACCCCACTTCTACTACTGAAAAAGTAAAAATGAATGAACTTTAATACAAGGTCAAATGGAGTTTTTCTTCAATCCATTTATGGATTCTCAACATTCATGCATCAATTGAGTTTCTAAACTCACATGCAACCTAAACAACAAACATTCTAGCTTCCCTCACCTGAAGATTGACTCAAAATAACCAATAACTGAAAAGAAGTATAATTCCCTTCCAAAGCTCAACCCGGAACTTCAAGCCTCCCAAAGCAAGCTTCCTAGTCTGAATTTCAAGAAAAGACAAAAAATATTAGTGATCTAGAGAAGAAAAGGAATCATACTGAGAAATTTGGGAGAGAAAGGAGCTCACAGACCTAGGGTCCTTCTCTCTAAAACTTCTCTCTAAAAGCTTCACTTTCTCCTCAACCACACAACCCCTATTTATAGAAGTTCAGAAGTGGCCAGAATGGCCTGTTCCGAATCCGGAACGGCTCGTTCTGCACCCCTTCATCATGTGCAAAAATCACATGCTGAACGACCCATTTTGAAACTAGAACAGCCCGTTCTGAGATTCATCCAGAATGGCCCGTTCTCCATCCAGAGCGGCCCGTTTTGGGGTTTGGAACGGCCCGTTCTCTATCCAAAACGACCCGTTCTCAACTACGATTTTCAGGCCAATTTAGTAGTTTGGAACGGCCCGTTCCAGTTTGGGAACGACCCGTTCGGGGCTACTAAATCACCCATATTGGGCTTTTGGGCCTTCTAAAATAACTTGCTACGTTACAATATCTAAATGAGGCCATATATTAA